TAAATATAATTTGATGTTTCTTACAGGGAAAGAAAGCATGTTGGTGTTGCATGGGATATTTTTATTATCACTGTCATTTTCTGTTTATTGGTGTTGTTTGGAAGTCTTTCTTTTACAATAAAATTGATAAGCAGCAAAATATCTTTTGTTTCTATTATTTTGCTTCTCGGGTGTTTGCCATTTTGCATATAACATTTTTTGCATGAGATAAAAAAGTTTTATTTTATTTTTTTAATACATTGAAACTAAATTTTGCTATTTTAATTTTATTAAAATTGAATTCAATATATAATTTTTATTATAATTATTAAGTAAAATATAAAATTTTTATGAAATTATTATTATGTATTGATAAATTAAATGTCAAACTATTGTGAATTTTTAGCTTGTTTTTTCCTATCAGAATGATTTAAGAAAATGCTTTATTTCTTATTTCTTGGTGGATTTATAGTTTAGTTAAATTTTTAACATAATATTTAACTTATATATTATATATACTGATTTTAATGTATATTTTTAAACAATGCTTTTTTTCATTATTTAAATGAGTCTAGATACAGTTAAAGAAATAATTCTTAGTAAAAGAAAAGGAAAACTCAAACTGGAAACATTTCAAAATATTGAACAGACAACCTTTTTCTTTCCAGCAATATTTAATGCTTAGACAAACATTTCTGGACTGATTTACAGTTCAACTTCAGGTCTACTTTCAACTTAATGTACTGTACTATACTGTACATTACATTCTATTTTGTTATATTGAATGTAGGTATGAAGTTGGACTATAAATCAGTGCAGAAACATATGTCTAATTAAGCATTAAATATTGCTGGAAAGGAAAAGGTTGTCTAAATTATTCTAAGAATTATCAAAGTATCAAACCTCTATTGAATATGTTTTTTTTTTCTGTGCAGATTTCTCCAAATATTATAGCTTAGTATGATTTTTCTTTATTTAAAATGTGAATTTAACTAATGTTATGATTTTAACTAATTATTAACTCAAAAAAAATTTAAACAGAATATTAGTGATTTTTTTCATTTTTAGATCATTATTCATTCTAATAGCTAATGATGTTTTGCATTAGGTTATTGTTGTCATTATATATTATCTCTTTCTACAATTTATTATAGATAATGATCAAATTATAACTACTTTACAAAGTATTATAAAATTAATTTATCCAAAAATCAATTTTGTCATAGAAGAGCAAATCAGGTTTATCTGTTTTGCATTTTATGAATATTCATATGTGTAAACTGTTATGCTCAATGTTGACTTAGAAGACTGAGGTATTCTGAGCAATTTATATTATTGATAGATCAAATATAGTTTCAAAAATGAATTCATTCTTTAATTTTCAAAGATATAATTTACCAATTTTACATTCTAATAATTTTGTTTTTGTTAGAAATTAAAATTTTTAGAAATTGTTAAATTATTATTATCATTTCTATTGAAGAACTTTCAGGTTTTTGTTTCTATTTGATATTCAGTGTCTAGAAATTTTGGTTCCTTCTGTTGTATTCAACTAAAATATTTTTTAAAAATAAACTCACTATAAATAATATAGTTTTAATTTCTGTTTTTAGTTTTATAAGCTTTTTATACTGCTATTTAAAAAGAAATTGTAGAATCTATTTTTTGAATTATGGTGTATTTTGATTTACATTTATTCTACATAAAAGTAGTCAATACATTTATACATTATAATAGAATACTAATTAAATAATACATTAATAAGATTATACTGTATTGCAATGGTTCTTAACCTTTATGAATTAGTGGCATATTCACAATTTCTTATAGAAAACTGTAGGACCAGTTTCACATCAAAGCTGTCTGTATATGTAATAAAAAGTAGGTTTAAAATAAATTGGCTTTTTTAAACAATTTTTTAAAAATTTATGACATTACTGTGAGAATAGTTCACCAGTATATTGTGATGTAAAGATTGAAAACCACTCCATAATATCTGAATTGGATTAAAAAACTCATGTAGAGAATTAGAACTGTACTGGTTGCATTGCTAATGGAAACTGCCAATGCTTGTTCTTTGCTCTCTGCTTAAGGATCTTTTATACACATTTTCATTGTTGTCATAGGATCTTAAATCAAGTACAGAACATTTTATTCTTCCCCAACTTCAAATTTAAACAAACTAACTCTATTTGAAATTCTAATAATGCCATAAAATTTACAGGAATTTCTTAGTCCTATCATTAAAAATTACAAATAATTATTTTAATATGCTTGTCTGTATGTTTGCTAAACTTTCTTAACTGAAACCATATCAGTGCTACACCTCCATTCTGTGTTTATGAACTCACTGGCTTCTGAACAAACTGCTCAATTCCTTCTCTTTATCCAAAGATTTTTGTTGACTCTTTGTTTCTGTCACACTGTTTGTCATTCACAAACATATATAATTTATCCGGTCAATTGTTACTTGTAGACTTTGGATTTTCACAATAGTCCATACAAGACAACTGAATGCTGTTAATAGTTTTGTCATCTTTTGTTGCTCACAGAAAACTTGCTGTCTAATTATTATCCAAATTACTACTATCTCTTCCCTTCTCTTCTTAGCATTATAGATGTTAGCCTCAATTAAATTTTTCTTTGCATATTACAGCTTCCTATTGATAGCCATGTTCTTTTGAATATTGCAAATAAACAGCTAATCACTGTTCATTAAGATGTCAAGAGTAAGATTTCTCCTAGTAGATAATTACATAATTCTCTTTGTCTTTAGTTTTGTTTTCTTCTTTTTTGACTCCAACAATTCTGATTTTTTTTTACATTTATAAAATGTCCTAATTATTTTACATTTATGATGTAATTTATATTTGGTAGTTTTTGTACATAACTGCTTCATAACCTGCCCAACCACATTGTGTGCATTTTTTTCTTATGTAAACAGCCATCTTTGATAATTTTGCCACCAACAAAATTTATAACACTTTTTTTTTTTTTTTTAATGACAATAGCTGTAACTTCTGTCTAATTGACATATTAAATTTGGAATTGTTTTGGACATGAACTAGTCAACAACACTTCTAATCTTAAATAGCTTCACAAAATAAACATATGCTTGTTGAATTTGTTTTTGATTCATACGTGTAATTTCCAATAGGTTTTATTAGTATTTAAAAAGTCTTGTATTTTTTCTCTAATGATAAAAGAAGAGATTATTAATGTCAATGTCAGTTATAGCACCTGTTTCAACTGCATAATAAGCAATTGTTTCATATCAAATGTCAGTGATCTCTCTCATTTTTGCCTTTGCTCTGAAATTGATCTAATAGGGAGTAGTCACAAATAGATTTCAATAATACTGTTTGTGAACCTTTATTGAGCATAGGAAGAAAGTATACTTCTCAAGCATTTTTACAAAAATTGAAGTTAAAAAGAATTGTGAGTGACTTATGAATATGCTTTGCAGAAACTTTTCAGTGAAGACCTCATGGCTTGGCAACATTATGCCTGACTGATAATTGTGAAGTTGCTGGTTTGTGTCTTCACAAGTAAACTGTTTTTTTAACGTCACATTATCGGAACCTGTAACTGGTGCTCTATGCGTATACGTTAAATATCGCTTAACAAACGTTTTCGAGCGTTTTGTTCGCTCTTCTTCAGGTCAACTGAAAGCACCAGTTACAGGTTCCGATAGTGTGACGTTATTTTCATCCCGGTGCTGAGAATAGAATAGTTCCTGCATTTAAACTGTTTTTTTTTTTTTTCAAATTAATGCAATTTGTACACAAGTTTAAGTCACATGGGTTTAAACACTTGTCTATTTTTTTTATTAAAAAATGTGCATTCTCTCTTTCTTGAAAATTTGTTTTCAGAATTTCAGAATTGCTGTCTGTTTACATAAATATATATATATATATTTTTTTTAAATTTTGAAGTAAATTATATATAATGCACATTTTTGTAAAAATCAAGGCTGACAGTTTTATAAAAATTCATTCAATTGTCCACCAATCTTCTCCAGATGATATTCTGTGTTCTTGTTCAATCAGATGTAAACAATTTTGAAGTGCTTGGTAAAATTTTTAACTTGTTATAAAAACAGACATTGGAAAGTTGGCATTGAATTAAAAATTTTTTTATGGAGAAAAGCATTTTGAAATAATTGATTCTGTTTAAATTTGTTAATTACAAAGTTAAAAAACAATACAATGATATAGAACCATGATATCACCTGAAATAGAGCTGCCAAACATTACATATTTATGCTCTTCTGTCTACAGAATAATTTTTATTTTAATGCTGCATCATTATGAAGATATTTTAGTAGTTAAAAAAGAATTTAAACTAAATACTCATTACCAGTAAAGCTCATATGGACTGATTTGACTATTGAGCAGTAAGGCTGAAAACATCTATTATTGGTGCTAACACATATAGACCTAGCATGTGGTTGTCTTGCACTAACAGTGGATTGTTGTTTTGGAATGTAGTTGTAAGATGTACAGACAATTAAAATAATAAAGTATCTTAGAATCAAGGAAATACATTATACAATAATAATGTACATTATTGATATCAATGAATTTAACAGAAATATTCAGCTATAGTAAGTAATGAAAGATTAACTTAGCTTTAAATGTGAACTGAATTGCATTACCATAAGCAATAAGATAAATTAATATTTGTATTATTCTAAAATGACCAGAACCAGAAATGTAAAAAGTGGGATGTTAGCCCAGACATTTTGACTAGTGATGTGCCGGATCGTTAAAAATGTATATCTGCGGATACGGATCATTAGTGTCTAGATCCGCGGATACGGATACGGATCTCTACTTTCGTACTCAGTCCGCGCCGGTGCGNTTTTTTAAATTATAATAAAATTTTATAATTTCGTATTGTTAATATAAAGTTTATAAAAGTGTATCCATATAACTATTTTTAGTCTAATATTTAAAACAAATAATAATTTGAATAATACATATTAAATGAATTAATAAAATTAACGATAATTTTAATTGCGACAACTCCCGCAGCGTGTTTGGTCAACAGAATCATTTGGAAATGGTGGGGAGCTGCCGCCAACACGAAGCTTCCATTCGAAGTAGGAAAGTCAACATGGCGGAGAGTGAAAGTGACGATGAGGTATGCTTACTTTTCTTAATTATAATTATTACGTCATTTTATTAATATATAAACTAGAAATGTAGGTTAAATATAATAGAAATACGATTTAAATCGTTTAAAGTAAGTTTGAAGTTATAAAACAGATTTTCATCTGTTGCTTGCACTGCAGAACAGGTGAGTGTACAGGAGAAGCGACATATACAGGCGAAGAGACATATACAAGTTAAAATGTATTTATTATTCTGAAGTATAATTTGTTATACCTTATTGATAAATTGCTCGATTGTTTTAATAAGTTTTAAAGGGTCGTTATGGTAAGATGATAATTTTTTTTTTATTGAAATATATGATTTAATTTTTTATTTATTTTTCTAGACATTACAAGTCGACCCCCCTATAACACTGTTGATAGTTCCGTTTTATAAGAATTCCATGTTGTACGAGTCACTTAGATTTTACAAATATGTGTGCCAGGCTGTGAACAGCTCACGTATTTGTAAAATCTAAGTGACTCGTACAACATGGAATTCATATAAAACGGAATTATCAACAGTGTTATAAGGGGTTGACTGTATTTGTTTTAAAGCTAAAGAAAAAAAAAACAATTTTTTAAATTAAAAAAAATTGTTTTTTAATTTAATAGAAATTTCATTATATTCACTATATATTAAATACTTCTATCTAATTATTAAAGATTATACTTAACTAAATTTAATATTGAAATAAATCTTCAAAAACTGTCAAAAATCTTATTTTAGTAACTATTTCGGCATTTTAAAAGCTATCATTTAGGTTATATCAAAATGAAATGATTCAAACAATATACAGCAGAGTCCCGCTAGTCCGAACTAATTGGGACCAAGCCCCATTTGGATTAGCCAAATAATTGAAATAATGCAGAAGTAAGCAATAAAACAGGTCTGGTTTGTATAGATCCAACACCATCGATGACATCGGCGTCTCACCCTTTATTTCATCTGTACTCAATAGAGGGTGCAAACAGTTAACAAAAGTAAGTTTTGTAATTTTGAAATGGCAATCTACCTTTATTGTTTACATTAAAATTAGTTTAATTGTAAAAAAAACATTGTTTTTATACACAGTCCAGGATTCCTATCAGTTGACTTATGCTACTGTGTGAGTTAGCATGCTTAATTGTGGATGTTGAATGTACTCTTTGCTCTACATTATTTTAGTTTAGTTTAGTTTGCTGCTACAATGGCCATGAAACAGAAACACACAACATGTACATTGAAAGATAAGCTGGATGTTTTGAAAAGGCTGGACAAGGGTGAAAGTGCAACAAAATTGGCAGTAGAGTTTAGAGTGGTCAAAGGCCACAATAACCAACTGGAAAGAAAACCATGCAAAGATTGAGCAGTTTTTGTGCCTTTACTTCAGAAAAATCAGTTGAAAATCGACAAACAGCAAGGTCTTCAATGTTTGACTTCAAAAGCTTGATGAAGCCTTATTAACATGGTTCACTCAGGAAAGAGACAGGGGAACACCCCTAAGTGGACCTCTTATTAGAGAAAATTTCCTCTCCACTGACTGAAATATGTTCAAATTAGTGGTATTCAGACTAACAGAACTCTACTGTATTAAAATAAGATTTATATTTGTCTCTTGTAAATTTTATAAATGTTAGTACTTGCCTCTGTTTTTTTTTTTTATAAGTTTAATTAAATTTATAAAGTGTAATTTTAATATACAGTACTCAAAATATGTCTGAATTGTATTTAAATTTTATTATTGTGTTTGTTTCATGGAAAGAGTTAAAGTTTAAATTTAATATATATTTCAATTATTCCATCTTGATGTAGCTGAAAGTTTAGTTAAATAACTATCTTGCTGGTCTGAGAAGATTTATTTAAATTTTATCCGAATCAAATTAATATTTATCCATATATATTTGGTTTAATTAGTATATTAGATTGCACATTTCACTTATGTTTTTCCTTCTTCGCCATTTTAGCCACGAGGGAAGAAGGTGAGCATAATTTAAATATAATTTGATGTTTCTTACAGGGAAAGAAAGCATGTTGGTGTTGCATGGGATATTTTTATTATCACTGTCATTTTCTGTTTATTGGTGTTGTTTGGAAGTCTTTCTTTTACAATAAAATTGATAAGCAGCAAAATATCTTTTGTTTCTATTATTTTGCTTCTCGGGTGTTTGCCATTTTGCATATAACATTTTTTGCATGAGATAAAAAAGTTTTATTTTATTTTTTTAATACATTGAAACTAAATTTTGCTATTTTAATTTTATTAAAATTGAATTCAATATATAATTTTTATTATAATTATTAAGTAAAATATAAAATTTTTATGAAATTATTATTATGTATTGATAAATTAAATGTCAAACTATTGTGAATTTTTAGCTTGTTTTTTCCTATCAGAATGATTTAAGAAAATGCTTTATTTCTTATTTCTTGGTGGATTTATAGTTTAGTTAAATTTTTAACATAATATTTAACTTATATATTATATATACTGATTTTAATGTATATTTTTAAACAATGCTTTTTTTCATTATTTAAATGAGTCTAGATACAGTTAAAGAAATAATTCTTAGTAAAAGAAAAGGAAAACTCAAACTGGAAACATTTCAAAATATTGAACAGACAACCTTTTTCTTTCCAGCAATATTTAATGCTTAGACAAACATTTCTGGACTGATTTACAGTTCAACTTCAGGTCTACTTTCAACTTAATGTACTGTACTATACTGTACATTACATTCTATTTTGTTATATTGAATGTAGGTATGAAGTTGGACTATAAATCAGTGCAGAAACATATGTCTAATTAAGCATTAAATATTGCTGGAAAGGAAAAGGTTGTCTAAATTATTCTAAGAATTATCAAAGTATCAAACCTCTATTGAATATGTTTTTTTTTTCTGTGCAGATTTCTCCAAATATTATAGCTTAGTATGATTTTTCTTTATTTAAAATGTGAATTTAACTAATGTTATGATTTTAACTAATTATTAACTCAAAAAAAATTTAAACAGAATATTAGTGATTTTTTTCATTTTTAGATCATTATTCATTCTAATAGCTAATGATGTTTTGCATTAGGTTATTGTTGTCATTATATATTATCTCTTTCTACAATTTATTATAGATAATGATCAAATTATAACTACTTTACAAAGTATTATAAAATTAATTTATCCAAAAATCAATTTTGTCATAGAAGAGCAAATCAGGTTTATCTGTTTTGCATTTTATGAATATTCATATGTGTAAACTGTTATGCTCAATGTTGACTTAGAAGACTGAGGTATTCTGAGCAATTTATATTATTGATAGATCAAATATAGTTTCAAAAATGAATTCATTCTTTAATTTTCAAAGATATAATTTACCAATTTTACATTCTAATAATTTTGTTTTTGTTAGAAATTAAAATTTTTAGAAATTGTTAAATTATTATTATCATTTCTATTGAAGAACTTTCAGGTTTTTGTTTCTATTTGATATTCAGTGTCTAGAAATTTTGGTTCCTTCTGTTGTATTCAACTAAAATATTTTTTAAAAATAAACTCACTATAAATAATATAGTTTTAATTTCTGTTTTTAGTTTTATAAGCTTTTTATACTGCTATTTAAAAAGAAATTGTAGAATCTATTTTTTGAATTATGGTGTATTTTGATTTACATTTATTCTACATAAAAGTAGTCAATACATTTATACATTATAATAGAATACTAATTAAATAATACATTAATAAGATTATACTGTATTGCAATGGTTCTTAACCTTTATGAATTAGTGGCATATTCACAATTTCTTATAGAAAACTGTAGGACCAGTTTCACATCAAAGCTGTCTGTATATGTAATAAAAAGTAGGTTTAAAATAAATTGGCTTTTTTAAACAATTTTTTAAAAATTTATGACATTACTGTGAGAATAGTTCACCAGTATATTGTGATGTAAAGATTGAAAACCACTCCATAATATCTGAATTGGATTAAAAAACTCATGTAGAGAATTAGAACTGTACTGGTTGCATTGCTAATGGAAACTGCCAATGCTTGTTCTTTGCTCTCTGCTTAAGGATCTTTTATACACATTTTCATTGTTGTCATAGGATCTTAAATCAAGTACAGAACATTTTATTCTTCCCCAACTTCAAATTTAAACAAACTAACTCTATTTGAAATTCTAATAATGCCATAAAATTTACAGGAATTTCTTAGTCCTATCATTAAAAATTACAAATAATTATTTTAATATGCTTGTCTGTATGTTTGCTAAACTTTCTTAACTGAAACCATATCAGTGCTACACCTCCATTCTGTGTTTATGAACTCACTGGCTTCTGAACAAACTGCTCAATTCCTTCTCTTTATCCAAAGATTTTTGTTGACTCTTTGTTTCTGTCACACTGTTTGTCATTCACAAACATATATAATTTATCCGGTCAATTGTTACTTGTAGACTTTGGATTTTCACAATAGTCCATACAAGACAACTGAATGCTGTTAATAGTTTTGTCATCTTTTGTTGCTCACAGAAAACTTGCTGTCTAATTATTATCCAAATTACTACTATCTCTTCCCTTCTCTTCTTAGCATTATAGATGTTAGCCTCAATTAAATTTTTCTTTGCATATTACAGCTTCCTATTGATAGCCATGTTCTTTTGAATATTGCAAATAAACAGCTAATCACTGTTCATTAAGATGTCAAGAGTAAGATTTCTCCTAGTAGATAATTACATAATTCTCTTTGTCTTTAGTTTTGTTTTCTTCTTTTTTGACTCCAACAANCTGGACAAGTCCATTTTCGAATTGCCCTCCTTAGCAATCCAATTGCCCCCTGTGGGGCGTGGGCCCCACATTGGGAAACACTGGTTTGTGGCTAGTGTGACACGGGATAGCGTAGATTACGTTTGTGTTTTTGGAGAGTGTTGAGTTAAATTAAAATAAAAGCAATGTTGACAAAAAACTTTAGTAGTGTAATATGGAAATATTTTACAATAGTAAACGACGAATGTGCT